TGTAAGGATATAGAGATACTAGTCTTTGAGGGTACGACTGTATCAACAAGAGTTGTAAGGATATAGAGATACTAGTCTTTGAGGGTACGACTGTATCAACACGAGTTGTAATGATATAGAGATACTAGTCTTTGAGGGTACGACTGTATCAACAAGAGTTGTAAGGATATAGAGAAGGCTTTGTGTTGGGCACTACAACATAAATATGTTTAACAGAAGTAATTATTTGTTCAATGCCTCCGCTAGGAGTCGGCCCTAGGTCCTCTGACTAACTAGTCTTAGACTCTACTGAATGAGCTAAGGAGAAGTATGGATATAAAGATAAAGCAAAGAATCACATGGAGACCATTGAGAAAGTTCAAGGAGAATAAAAAGTTTTAAAATATAACGATTCAAAATAATAAAAACGAAATAAATAAATATAACGAAATAAACTTTTAGTTTTGTTGTTGTGCGAAGTAATTATATGAGACCTGAAAATTTAGCAATGTTTGACATTGGACATACTTCATTATTTAGTATCTTCATATGATAACAACATACTTACCATACCGGCACTGTATTTATATTTAAGGTATAGCATGATGACCAGATGTTGGGATATGGAACCAAAGGAAAGACCCAGTTTCAGTGAAATCGCCAAAGAGTTGGAGGTTTTCATCGAGTGTGAAACGGACAACATTACGTTAGACGAACTAGAAGAGTCTCAGTATGGTGTCCTTGATCCCAACATGGTGGATGAGCGAGTGTAAACTCTCCCATTAAAATGATAAACATGTATGTATCGACATGGACGATATTCGTGATTAAACAATCCTACGATCATGGTGGACGAGCGAGTGTTAGTACTCTCGTAAAACATGGTGAATAATGGAGTGTAAATACTCCCATAAACATGATATTCATGTAAATATAAACATGGTAGACGTGGGTGTAAATGTCCATTTCAAATAGTGGACGAGTGAATGTAAACATTCTCACAGATATGATGGACAAGTGAGTGTAAACACTAACAAGTATCGTGGTCAGGCGAGTGTAAACACTCTCACAGATATGATGGACAAGTGAGTGTAAACACTAACAAGTATCGTGGTCAGGCGAGTGTATACATCCTCGTTAACAAGTGGATGGACACACCTTGGAAAACATGTTAGACGAGCGAGTGTTAAAACTCCTATAACCTAGTGGATAAGCAAGTGTAAACACTCTCACAAATGTGATGGACAAGTGAGTGTAAACACCCTTGAAAACATGCAGGACGAGTGGGTGTTGCAACTCCTATAACCTAGTGGACCAGCAAGTGTAAACACTCTCACAAATGTGATGGACAAGTGAGTGTAAACACCCTTGTAAACATGCAGGACGAGTGGGTGTTGCAACTCATATAACCTAGTGGACCAGCAAGTGTAAACACTCTCACAAATATGATGGACAAGTGAGTGTAAACACCCTTGTAAACATGCAGGACGAGTGGGTGTTGCAACTCCTATAACCTAGTGGACCAGCAAGTGTAAACACTCCTGTAATCAAGGAATTCAGGACACCAAGCAGTGCTTGCGACAACCAATAATGTTAAGAATATGCAAATTTGTATCTTGGACATCATGTGTACATGCGTCCGTAGTTAATATTTGTTTCTCGTAAATGATTGTCTAAACAGTGATTTCGTGAAGTGCTAATTAATGAAATTTATGAAAAGACAAAAGGTGAAGGAAGACAACATCCATTTTACTCGCACTACAAACTTGCATGAACGGAAACTTTGAAAATTGTATATTACATGATGACACGTATACAGATGACAGTGCTCGAGTATTTTAGATAAATATGAGTATATTGGATGACTTGTATGAAGATTCCCTGTGAATCTTTAACTGTGATATTTTATAGATATATTGACCATGATGTATAAAGCCATAAATGACACTGTGGTGTATAGCTATGTCACTGTGGTGTATAGCTATGTCACTGTGGTGTATAGCTATGTCACTGTGGTGTATAGCTATGTCACTGTGGTGTATAGCTATGTCACTGTGGTGTATAGCTATGTCACTGTGGTGTATAGCTATGTCACTGTGGTGTATAGCTATGTCACTGTGGTGTATAGCTATGTCACTGTGGTGTATAGCTATGTCACTGTGGTGTATAGCTATGTCACTGTGGTGTATAGCTATGTCACTGTGGTGTATAGCTATGTCACTGTGGTGTATAGCTATGTCACTGTGGTGTATAGCTATGTCACTGTGGTGTATAGCTATGTCACTGTGGTGTATAGCTATGTCACTGTGGTGTATAGCTATGTCACTGTGGTGTATAGCTATGTCACTGTGGTGTATAGCTATGTCACTGTGGTGTATAGCTATGTCACTGTGGTGTATAGCTATGTCACTGTGGTGTATAGCTATGTCACTGTGGTGTATAGCTATGTCACTGTGGTGTATAGCTATGTCACTGTGGTGTATAGCTATGTCACTGTGGTGTATAGCTATGTCACTGTGGTGTATAGCTATGTCACTGTGGTGTATAGCTATGTCACTGTGGTGTATAGCTATGTCACTGTGGTGTATAGCTATGTCACTGTGGTGTATAGCTATGTCACTGTGGTGTATAGCTATGTCACTGTGGTGTATAGCTATGTCACTGTGGTGTATAGCTATGTCACTGTGGTGTATAGCTATGTCACTGTGGTGTATAGCTATGTCACTGTGGTGTATAGCTATGTCACTGTGGTGTATAGCTATGTCACTGTGGTGTATAGCTATGTCACTGTGGTGTATAGCTATGTCACTGTGGTGTATAGCTATGTCACTGTGGTGTATAGCTATGTCACTGTGGTGAACAAGACATACTCTGATCGTTCCTACAGCAGTTTTCCACTTCAAACATAACATAGATAACCAGAAGAAAAAATTCCTGTGACTTCCTCGGCTGGACTTTTACAGAAACGAAACAAACCCGCGTGATAACTGTGTTCCCGCGTGATAGAGTACATAACTCTGCACCCGTTTGATAGGGTACATAAGTCTGCTCCCGCGTGATAGGGTACATAACTCTGCACCCGCGTGATAGCGTACATAAATCTGCACCCGCGTGATAGAGTACATAAGTCTGCTCCCGTTTGATAGGGTACATAACTCTGCTCCCGTTTGATAGGGTACATAACTCTGCTTATTTTATGAGAGTGTTACCATCAGGTTTCATTTTTAAGCACTGTACTGTATATGACTGGAAGTGGGCATATCCGCTTTATCATCTGAAGGTAAATCGCGTATTCGTATCCTGTGGCAGATACTAAATTCTGATGATATCCGACAAAGTCAATGTATTTGGCAACTTTGACAAATGTACATGTGTGCATGAGGTTATGATTGGACTATTCAGAACTGACCGCAAGTAAAAAATGATACCGTACCTTATGTAGCATGTATTACCGTGAAGAATGTTGAAATATATTGTAATTGCAAATAGCTGTATCAACGTAATGTAACGTTCTGACGAATTAACTAATTCTTTATGTTTTTTGATTCCATCATTGGCAACTTTTTCATGGTTTTTACAAAAGCCTTTTGTGTTTCGTGTTCGCAAAGACATGTAAGTTTAGTTCTCAATTAGAATCCTTACTGAAAACACCCTGTATGACGTGTTTGCGTTAAGTTAATATACAGCTACAGGGCTTTGGACAACTTTGCAATTGTGACGAGCAATTTGTATCCAGAACTTGTTAAATTAAATATGAAATATTATTTATGAATATATTCGAAATTCAAATTTTATATTGATGTGTCATTGAGGCAGCTCGCGACAACTATGTTCCATACACATGAGATTGTTAGTAAGATACGATAGTAGGAAATATAGGGTTTATGTTGTTATACAACGCCGTGCAAAGAATTCCAGATACCCGAAACAGGCATCACTTACCAGATAGCCGAAACAGGTATCACTTAACAGATACCCGAAACAGGTATCACTTACCAGATAGCCGAAACAGGTATCACTTAACAGATATCCAAAACAGGTATCACTTAACAGATACCCGAAACAGGTATCACTTAACAGATAGCCGAAACAGGTATCACTTACCAGATAGCCGAAACAGGTATCACTTACCAGATATCCGAAACAGGTATCACTTACCAGATAGCCGAAACAGGTATCACTTAACAGATACCCGAAACAGGTATCACTTAACAGATAGCCGAAACAGGTATCACTTACCAGATAGCCGAAACAGGTATCACTTACCAGATACCCGAAACAGGTATCACTTACCAGATACGCGAAACAGGTATCACTTAACAGATACCCGAAACAGGTATCACTTAAAAGATACCTAACGCTGTTTATGTAAGGAGTTACATCATATTACGTAGTAAGCATTATGTTTTCAGGAAAACATTTTTTTTTATGTTTTTTGGGAGTTATATTTTTATATATTCGGAAGGCATTGCTCTCCAGGTAGCAGTGTACAGTAGCGTACGGTGACCATGGGTTATATTTTTGTAATATTACATGTATCAAAAGTAAAATAAACATCAGCTCTAAAATTATATACATGATGAATTGGACTATGTGGGCTTCACATTAAAAAAACCGAATTTGGCTTGAGACTTCATTTTTTGCCATTTACGAATCTGTGTCTACACAACAAAGGCTAGCTTTTCATGTAGTCTATATTTGTACTCAGCACATGTGTAAATATTGTGAAAAATCTAGTTTGACGACCTTTGCTAAAACGTGAGTATCTGTGACCGAGTAGGTGATATTTAATTTAAGACAGGTTTTAAGAAAAAATTACTGCTTGCGTTGGTCAAATTTTGGGTTAAATATATATATTTTTTGCATTTTTTGGCGTTTTTTGATGTGGTAACCATGGTTTTCACATGTCCCAAATCTGGTGTAATCACTTTTTGAAAATATATTCATTCATACAAAAACAACGTATTCAAAATGTAGTTTATATATATATATATATGTAGGTGTGTTGTGCAGGCTGAATCCGCTATCCATGTTTATCTGAGACATGCCCTTTATTTTTAGGGTCAAGCCATTTCTACTGTACTCTGCTACCCCAGGATGAGTGAACGCATTTCATCATTTGCATGCTGTACAACAATGTTAAATAGTCATAGATTTTCATTCGTAAACATAACTAATGTAAATTTCAATGTAATAATATGATTGTATTTGGTTCTTTACCTCCGCAGTTCACTCAAGTTGTATATTTGATGAAAGTCCACATGGAAACCTTTTTAACCTGTGTTGTTTATGTTTGATAATATTTTTAATTGTTAAACGCGCGGAAAAAATGTGCAAGTAGATGTTATTAGAAATGGTTAATTTATATTATTTTTTTTATCTATTTTTATCATGTGTTATTGAATGCATTTAAACTGGAGTAAACTAAATAAAATCGCAAAAAACCTATGAAGACTTTAAACGGGTCAGAGATTTTTTGTGAAATTTAGTAGAAATCAATGTCACGCCTACTTTTTGTATATTTTCATTCATTAACATTTAAGTTCCTTTTTTTTCCATGACGATATCGATCACATGATTTGTGAGCAGATGTATACAGGGTTACATGTTTCAAAACACACCGTTAAGAAACAATGGACGCAAGCGTAAAAGACCATAGTCTACATATTTACACATTTGAGCTGATTACAATCCAATCCATGACTAACGAGATGATGAAACTGGAATATATAGTGCACATTGTTCCACGTGGTATTCTATAAACTTTTGGGTATCGTTCGTTCGCACTATGGTAAAACTGAGCGATAGACATATACATACCATTTTATGATCAAGGTCAATAAATCCGAGGTTAAATAGGTAATCAGTGTAATGTTTCATTCTGATTGGTTTACTTTTAGAGAATAAAGGTTGATGATATCAGTTTTGATGTGTATTTAGGGTAGTTATTATATGTATTTCTCTTTCTGGTTTTGTATGATTATAAAAAATTCAATTGCT